CGTGTATTAAGTTTCAGATAAAGATATAAACATTTAGTCAAACATTTTTATTTATTTTCCATATGGGTGCCTCCGCCACCTTGACATATTTCAGTACTCAATGGAGATGCTAAGTTTATGCTAAGTTTATGCTTCAGGCCCATAGTTACTGTCAAACTGGTTTTCATCTTTTCAGTTGTTGTTCAGCTGGCGTTTTTTATAATTACCTGACACTTAACCAACGGTTAAATGTAGATGAGATGAGATGAGATTCAACTTTATTGTCATTACACATATACAAGTATAGAGTAACGAAATGAGGTTTGGCATCTCACCAGAAGTGCAAATAAGCAGAAAGTGCAAGAGTCTGTGCTATGTACAGTAATTACAAAATTTACAGATGTAGACTAAAAAAAGTGAATTATTAGGTATATATGGATGGCTGGATTAATGGGATGCTATAAATATAAATAAATGCTATAAATATAAGTGTATTCTTAGGATTATAATATACAGATTAAGGTGTAGTGAGCATGCTATACTAATAATATACTGATTAAGGTGCAGTGAGCATGCTATACTAATAATATGCTGATTAAGGTGCAGTGAGCATGCTGTACTAATAATATACTGATTAAGGTGCAGTGAGCATGCTGTACTAATAATATGCTGATTAAGGTGCAGTGAGCATGCTGTACTAATAATATACTGATTAAGGTGCAGTGAGCATGCTATACTAAGGTAGGGAGGCAACATTCTTAATGAAGGTCATCATTCGTCTTGATAATAGAACTTCTAACCTTGATGACTTTATGAAGCTTCTTGTTATGACAGGTTGTCTTGTTTTCTGAGTAAAAGGTTTACTTTTTTTTATTTTAATTTCCATCACATCACAGAGATTTCACCACTGTGTTCACTCCAAATAAATCTCTTCTGAGGTAAGCCGTAATATGCTTTATTTTGTTTGGGTGAAACTTATGTTTAATTTTATAGATGCTGAGAAAACAACATGTTTCCATTAGTGTCTACTTTGAAGGTATTTTTTAACGTTTTCTATACCTCTTTTATGCTGCATGCTTTAAGCTTCTTGCGTCTGATTTTTGTTTTTAATTGAACCCCTTTATCACATTTACTTGTTTTGTTACTGGATACTTTAGGGATAGGAAATACTCTTCACTGTCGGAGTTCAAGCTCTGAAATAAAACCCCATGTCATATATCATACTTTATCAATCTATGATCCCATCAGTTAAAAAGCATATGCTCAGTTTGATAAATCTAGTTAAAAATAGTCCTCCATTTAGAGGTAGCACAGTGCCATCAAAATATATTTAAATGCCCAAAAATAAGTGTTGTCATTCGGGAAGCAAGAGCCTTTTGAACAGTTTCAATTAAATTACTGTAGACATGGTATCATATATGCTGAAGCTGTGAGGCACAGAGTTGATGAGGTTAATTAAATGTTGTCTAAAATTATACATCATGATTTTTAGAATCATTGATTTTTTTTAATCTACAAAGTAAAAAGTGAAACTGAAGAAAAAACATTGAGGAATAAATGGAATAGAATTAGAATCTGAAATGTAAATGTGTTAAAGTATAAAGTAACAAAATAGTACCAGTTAAAATGTCTACTTAGGCCGTGTTCACACTTGACTTCTTTTTTTAACTGCCAGTGCCTTTTTTACATACAAGCCTATGGAAAAATGAAGAAGTATGACGCCTTTTTAAGTTGAATTATTTCAACTTTTCAGAAAAGCGCTGGGTGACGTCAAGCGCCTTTCTGACAGCTGACCAATCAGGACGAGTAGTGACCTCCGTCCCTAGTTACCGGTGCCCAAAAACGGCAAACTTCCACCAGATATGTGCGCATTGCGTGTCCGCTCCGGTCCGTTACGGGACCGTGCGTCCTCATCTGTTAACACCCACCGGCTGCGTTCTCTGTCTGCAGCACGGAGAGCTCAGCCGGACAGCTGGAGTACGGAGACAAAGGAGTTTCCGCGGTAATTTAACAGATTCACTGGCGGCAGCACGAGATAATACGATGTTCGTGGTATAAAACTCAATAAAAACCTTACACAAAACACAAACGGTCATTTTTCTGAACCGTCAAAACGGAGGGTTTTATTCTGAAAATAAACCGGATGTTTTGATGTTGTATCGGTGTCTGACTTCCCGTCCCGTTTGTTCTTTTCTGTGCTAAATTGATGCGTTGTGTTCAGACTAGATCCCGTTGTTATGGTTACAGAACACTCGCGCAAAAGGCGCAGAAGGCAGCGCTGTTTTCTGAAAAAATAAGTCAAGTGTGAACACGGCCTTAAAAACAATCTTTAGTTAGTGTGAATGCTGTAAACAGCATTCACACTATTGTTATTCAAATCTTTAAATTCTCTAAGTTATTTCACTTTTTCTACAAAATTTTTCCCCATTGAAATGAATTGGAAAATTTTCCACTTTTCCACTTTTTTCTCAGCCTTATAACTTTGGCTGTGTTCCACCTAGAGACTCCATTTTTGCTTTAAAACGTTCACACACTTTTCTTGCTACCTTTTATACTTTTCAAACTGTACCTCCAAATGTTTGGTGATGTTTTTAACTTTTTTCACATTTTAGAGTGAGTGACATCATCGCTAGAGTGGGACAAAGTTCTGAGATTGTTTCAAAATCTCCCGAACAAATTGCTCTACTGACCACAAACTTCACCCCACACACATAAATCTACCCTCAAAATGTAGGAAAACTTGTCCTCTCTCACACATTGAGTTTTCAGGACAATTGGAGAAAAGGTTTTTGCACTGTGAGCTTCAAAGCGGCAGGTGGGCCAGATAAATCTCCATGTGGGGTAATGGTAAACTTCAGCCTATTATTTATTTTCCATATGGGTGCCTCCGCCACCTTGACATATTTCAGTACTCAATGGAGATGCTAAGTTTATGCTAAGTTTATGCTTCAGGCCCATACTCTAGTTACTGTCAAACTGGTTTTCATCTGTTCAGTTGTTGTTCAGCTGGCGTTTTTTATAATTACCTGACACTTAACCAACAGTTAAATGTAGGGAGGCAACATTTTTATGAAGGTCATTATTCGTCTTGATAATAGAACTTCTAACCTTGATGACTTTATGAAGCTTCTTTATCACCTTTTTGACACTTCTTGTTATGACAGGTTGTCTTGTTTTCTGAGTAAAAGGTTTACTTTTTTTGAATTTCCACCACATCACACCCAATAGGGAGACGTTTTCCCCTTTTTCTCATTGTCTGACTGCATTTAAGCAGTCTTTATGCAATATCTTCTACTTGTTCTACCACTTCTACTACTGTTTCTTCATCTTCTACTAATACTTCTTCTACTACTCCTTTTACTTCTACTTCTTGTTCTTCTGCTTTTACTACTTTTACTTCTTCTACTACTACTCTTCTTTTACTATTTCCTCTACTTCTTCATCTTCTACTTTTTCTTCTTCTACTACTATTCTTTTACTATTTCCTCTTCTAGTTTTTCTTCATCTACTATTCCTTCAGCTGTTTCTGCTAATTCTTCTTCATTCAGCAACAATACGCAAAACATTTCAGCAGTCAGCATTCCCACGCATTTTCCGCAGGTAAATGCAAATTATCTAGTTATGATTAATATTCCTAAATTAGAATAAAGGGTCAGAGGTCAAAGAAGGAAAGAGGCTCCAGTGGAAATGTATTTGACCTTTGACATTTGATTCCTTTAATCGCTCAAGTTTTTATTCATGGATTCATTTATGGAAAGAGAGTCGATTCATCTGGACTCCAGCACCGAGGTCTAGACTGGACCCCAGCACCGAGGACTGGACTGGACTCTAGCACAGAGGGACTGTATTCCATCCCCGAGGACTGGTCTTACTGTAACTGAGGACTGGACTCCATCCCAGAGGACTGGACCTCCAGCACCGAGGACTGGATTCCAGCACCAAGGATTGGACTCCATCCCAGAGGACTGGACTCCAGCACCGAGGACTGGATTCCAGCACCAAGGATTGGACTCCATCCCAGAGGACTGGACTCCAGCACCGAGGACTGGATTCCAGCACCAAGGATTGGACTCCATCCCAGAGGACTGGACCTCCAGCACCGAGGACTGGATTCCAGCACCAAGGATTGGACTCCATCCCAGAGGACTGGACTCCAGCACCGAGGACTGGACCTCCAGCACCGAGGACTGGACTCCAGTCTGGAGGACTGGATTCCAGCCCGAGGACTGGAGGGGGGTTTGTGGGGCGTTTTCCACTTCCACTTAAAATAGAATATAAGAAAACCCAGAGTGGGGCGCGCTGGTGGCGCAGTGGCAGGGCGCACGTCCCACGTGTTGAGACTCTCGTCTCGAGCGGTAGGCCCGGGCTCGCTTCCACCCGTAGCCCCTTTCCGCATGTCACTCCCCGCTCTCTCTCCCTGGTTTCCAACTCTATCCACTGTTCTCTCTCTGCATTACAGGCACGAAAAAGCCCAAAAAGAAAACCCGGAGTATTTAATCCGACCTGAATTGTTTTTATATTAAAGGTAACGTGAGGATGTGAAAACCACACCTGCTCTCTGGTTTCAGGGGTGCGTCTCCCTGCGAGGGCCCACCTTTGTGATCCGGAGCCCTGCCCCGCCCGGTCTCATTTAATCTCCCTCGCCTCACAGCGGCGTCTGCAGCAGCTCGCCGTGCTCATTCCAACACTGAGGCAGTTTGCTGTCTGCACGCTGTAAGCTTTTTATGTAAACGCTTCAGATCCACCTTTAGGACCCGATCAGACGGGACAGAGATACAGAATCTATTTCACACCGGGTTAGTCTGGACCGCCGTGTCGGTTCAGTTCTTATCGTGACGAACGCCAGAAGAAGAGCAGTGCGTCCTCGTGTTGAGGGAAGGCGATCCTGCTGCTCTTGTGGCGTTGGTGACCACAAGAGGTTTCAGACCAATAATTGAACGTTTTTTCTGAGCTTTTTGATTGGACGCTGTGAGTAAAATCTGTTTTCTGAACGCCTTCCCGCTCTCTGTCCGCCTCTGCAGATCCCAGCGGCGGCGATGGACAGGGTCAGCCTGCTGTGGCGTCTGAGGCGTCGGGCTCGCCGTGGAGCCATCTGCATGGCCTTCTTCTGCATCTCCATGGCTCTGCTCTACGCCATCTGTGCTGAAAACAGCGTGCCCGTCACAGACGCCATCTTCGGGGTTCGGGCAAGAACCCGGGCTCAGCCTCGAGCGCACTCAGTCATCAAGGTCGGTGGCGTGATTCACACGCTGATGTTTGTGTTTCTGTTTAAAGCGAGTTGCAGGTTTGAAGGTCACATTGGCGCTTTGTTAATCCCACAGGTGCTGAGAGGCGGAGCCAAGCCCATGTACATCGACCCCCAGAAGCTCCCGGGCGTCGTCCCAGGTGACCCACGCCGCCCCATCCCGGTCCTCTCCTCGCCAAACAGAACCCACGAAGCCGTGGAGTCGGCGTCAAAGCGTAAGACGAGAGATCGAGAGCCGTCGGGCTTCTTCACCCGGATGCTGCCCCGCCCCTTCACCCGGGCACTGGAGACCCTGTTCGGAGGACGCAGGAAGGGGGAGCCGAGCGGGAGAGGCGGCGACGCCGAGTTCTTCGGGCCTCACGGGCTCCTGGGGGAGGTCTGGGACGACGAGATGTCCAGTAGCATGCTGGGAAACCGACTGAGGAAGGTGGTGCAGAACTATCAGGTGAGTTAAAGTATGACCAGTGACTGTCCTTCACATCACCCCTTAGTAGAACATGGTAAGCCCTGTTCTGCAAATTCATCCCATTTATAAAAAGGGACTGAAGGTTGGGAGCATCATGGGGTTCTTCATGTTTCACTGAAGCTTCATCAAAAAGTTAGGACAGAACATAGATATCGACAAGCAATTGTGTTTTTCTTATTGTTTGCACTGCTTCTTTAGTCGGCCTGAATGCTAAAATCGTCTGTAAATTAACATTTTAAAGCTGATTTTTTTTTTTAAATGCCCCCGGACCCCCTTAGGGAGTTTGGATCCATGTCACGTTTTTCATCACTGATGAGTTTGCACCCCTGATGTTACTGCAGCACTTCACCTCAGGGTGGTAGTCATTTTACTTGTGGGCGTGGCGCTCACTGATTGACAGATGATGCTGAACGTCTAAACTCTGAAGCATCAGATGACCTTCTGTTTGTGTTCCACTGTTTACATCTTTTAGTCCCGTGTTTGTATCCTGATGTCACATTTGTTATATTTGCTGTGTTGTGTTTGAATCAGTGAACTTTAGATAATGAGCCTCGGTAGGTAACACCCATTTTATAACGTTACTGTGTAAATATTTTATTTGCACTTTAATTCAATTAATAAATATTGTTATGTTTGAGGCCATATTAGTTTAAAATTTATGGTATTTAATTTTATTTTTTTATAGATTTTTGTGCCTTTAATGTAGAGATAGGACAGTGAATAGAGTTTGAAATCAGAGAGAGAGAGAGAGAGAGAGAGAGAGAGAGAGTGGGGAATGACATGCGGGAAAGGAGCCACAGGTGGGATTTGAACCCAGGCCGCCCGCTTTGAGGACTACAGCCTCCATACACGGGGCACGCACACTAACCACTGAGCCACCAGCGCCCCATTGATGGTATTTTATAACAAGTGATTAATTCATTGTTTTAAGGGTGGGGGTTAGAGGTCGGCGATATGGGAAAAATATCATATCACATTGGGCAAAATCCCGATCACGATTTTATCACGATTTTTTTCATACTGTTCTTTAGACAAATTTGTAAGTTGCTGACCAGTTCAACCAAACTTATTTCCCTGTATAATGTTTTTAAATGCACAAAAACTGCACTGACAAGTTTAATCTATTTGAAAAACATCTTTGTAGGAGGTCTGGAGGTCTCTCACCCAGAACATCTTTAGCAACAGAAATGTCTTTCCCTCAATTTGATCAATATTTATGAACAATTTGAAGGTTTTCCTCCCCACTTTGAAATGATGATTTAGCTATGTGTCCTCTTTTTATGTTCATCAGGAACATTTTCACACAGTGATGCATTCATTTAAAAACATCTAGACTTTGAGTTCTTGTGTTTCTGTTCTATTTTAGCCCTGCAGAGTTCCTCCAGCTGGAGCTTCATACAGGCTCTGCAGACTTTTTTATGACATCATTGGACTAACTTTAGTTTAGTTTATATATAATCAAACATAATACAGAATGTGTTCATTCTGTGACACATGATCAAAGTAAGTTTTACTGACAGAAGAGTTTAATTCATAGAGGGGGCGGGACATCGTTGATTGACAGACAGACAGTCACCATGGTTACTCACTCTCACCTGCCTGCTGCTTTGTAACGTCGTTTAGTGTAATCCCTATAGGTTCAGTTATCACAACAGGTGAGCTTCAGGTGGAGAAGCTTGATAAGTAACTTTTAAAAACTGAGAGAGAGCAGAAAACACCGACAGCAACATTTGAAACACCGGGGTTATATCTCCCCTCACTGTCTGTCTGAGCTCCTCTCTGTCTGACTCTGACTGTTAACGTCTCTTCGGCTTGTTCAACGGTTTCTTGTGTCGCTATCTGAGATGTAAACTTAACTGTGCACACTATGCAGATAAGTTAACTGTTGCTCACAGCGTGTCGGTTTGGAAAAATATCACAACAGTTGCATATAACCGGATGGAGTTGTTTTTGCGGACTTTACTTTTAAGTTTCGTTTTCGTTTTCACCGCTGCGGAGCAAAAAAGTAGGGTGAGACGCGTCTGTGTCGGAGCATAAACTGCAGCATGAGAGAATAAACACATTAGCCCGGTTCTACGATGTCTCTGCTTTGGCAGATTGTCAGCAAGTTAAAATCCTTCACTATTTAAGATCGTTATATCGCCCACCACTAGTGGGGGTGTTAGGGCTGTGTGTTCCTTCTCCACTTCCTGTTGTCTCCAGGTGAAGCCACTAATTGAATAATGAGGTACACCTGGCCTCAGAGCTTAAAGAGCTGGCTGCAGGTGGCGAGTTGGGTTTGGGTTAGTTTCTAAACACTTAAAACACTTTTGGGTGTTTCAGATTTTATTGGGCCAGTTTGTGTTGTTAGCCCCGTAGGGCCGCTTTACAGTCTCCAGGTATCGACGTCTCTAACGGCGCTCTCGTTCTCCTTCCAGGCGATGAATAAATACGGCGTTGAGCTCTCCGGTCCCGGCGCTGTCCCCAGCAGACGCAAGCTGAGCGGCCACGAGCTTCTCTGCCAGCTGAAGGACAAGGTGGAGGTCGCCACGTTGACGCCTGAACTCCCGCCGTTCTCGTCGCTGCCGTGGGCCGCCCAGCTGCCGTCGCAGCCTCTGACGTCAGACCTGGGCCCGTACAGGAGCTGCGCCGTGGTGTCGTCTGCGGGGTCGCTCCGAAACTCTGGACTGGGCCGAGAGATCGGTGAGTGATGAGTTCAGAGTCTAAACTAAACACATTCAGTCAATGACGGTCCAACTAGAGACCAGAGAGGGGGAGGGGTCAGGGGCGGGGCTAACTGTGATTGACAGGTTTCCCCAACTGACCTGAAAAATGTTTGAATCCTGTGTTTGATCCCCCCATGATCATCTGATCTGTGATCTCCTTAGCCCCTCCCTTTTATTATTTGACCACGCCCACTGTGAAAACAAACGAGACGACGTGTTGGAAACGTCCTGCTACACTCTCACAGTCTCACTTCTGCTTTCAAACATTTCAGACTCCCATGAGGCCGTGCTGCGCTTCAACGCCGCCCCGACCACCGGCTACGAGAAGGACGTCGGCGCCAAAACGACGATACGCCTCATTAACTCACAGGTAACCAAAAGACGAGCTCCAGGTGGTCAGAGAAAGTTTAACCATAAGAACGTCTCTCTGAAGGTCGATGTTCTCCGTGACCTCTAAACGATCACCTTTAAAACAGGCTCCTCCTCCCTGCTAACAGGCTCCTCCTCCCTGCTAACAGGCTCCTCCTCCCTGCTAACAGGCTCTTCCTCCCTGCAGCTGATTCATGTCCTCAACGTCCCCATTTGAATGTTTTCAAAGTTCACGTGGGCGTCCCTGAAATGACCTTGAAGGAGCAGACGTGGCGTTGGTTTACCAGTGTTTCCTGCTCGTTAAAACGTGTCGGTGCTAACGGGTTGTTGACCTCTGTTTCAGGTGATGGCGTCTGATGACCATCGCTTCCTGTCCAGCTCTCTGTACAGCTCGGGTGCTCTGGTGGCCTGGGACCCCGCCCCCTTCTCTGCTGACCTCACTCAGGTGACGTTCACATCACACAGCGACAGACGAGATGGAGAGTTTCACTTTTTAAAGAGTTTCACTAAACGTCTTTATGACGAAATTTTCGATGCTAACTTTGCAGCCACACCAGATGAACATCCTGAATTAGAAACTTCTTTTAGATTCTGGTCCTGAATGCTCTGGATTTGTTTGGACCAGAGAAGGTAGGCGCTTTTAAGGCACCCCCACACGGCCGTTTTGGACGCCCCTCGGTTTGCCAGGTATGAGAGCAGTTATCAGGTCAACAGGTGTTGCAGCGATGGAAGCGGTCAAGAGAAGTGGTTCAGATAGAAGTGATTGTACCCGACCTAAAAAGCCTCTGCATGTTTCTAATAAGCTCCACGAGCAGAAACGTGCTCAAACTAGGATCAATATTGGAGATGCTTTTGAAAAATGGAGAGAGGTTAGAACACAGAAAGGTTTACAGACCCATGCAGAGCTGGATAAACACTGAAGCTTCAGAGTCCACCACATGGTGACCTGAGTGAGCATCCACTCTAGAGAGGAGGGGGGAGACAGCTTTCTGCAATGTTTAGAATTTAGACTGCAGTACCCATTTTAAACACTAGGTGTCAGAGTTACATACTGCTCCTTGAAACTCTCATGTGGTCAATGAATGGATTCTGGATGGATGAGACGCCTTCAGCTGCTCGTTGAACTCTGAATTTCAGCGTCATGTTTTTATCCCCCCCCCCCTGCAGTGGTTCAACCGGACAGACTACCCCATCTTCACCCAGTACCAGAGGTACAGGAGGCTCCACCCCCTGCAGCCCTTCTACATCCTGCATCCTCGCTTTGAGTGGCAGGTATGGCAACGAATACAAGACAACATGGCCGAACCCATCCAGAAGAACCCACCTTCCTCCGGCCTGCTCGGTATGTCACACTCTCTTACCACTTCCTGTTTCTATTCCTGTGGTCATCAGGACGTGTTTAAGTTCTTCTTTATGTCCTGCCCCCCCCCCCCCCCAGGCACCGTCCTGATGATGTCGCTGTGCGAGGTAGTACACGTTTACGAGTTCCTGCCGTCTCGCAGGAAGACGGAGCTCTGCCATTACTACCAGCGCTTCTTCGACGCCGCATGCACTCTTGGCGCTTACCACCCGCTGCTGTACGAGAAGAACCTGGTCAAACGGATGAACCAGGGCGCCGACCGCGACATCTACAACCACGGACGAGTCACGCTGCCCGGCTTCAGCAAGCTGAACTGCAGCCAGGCTGAACGCTGAGCACACACACACACACACACACACACACACAGACACACCCACACACACAGACACACACACAGGAAGTGACGCAGAACGCTGCATGAAGACTCTTATGGATTCAGACGCATGAATACTTCATACCCACTAACGACCCCTGAAGAACGCCGTACCACTCATTATGTATACACACACAGACACACACACACACACACACACACACACACACACACAGACACACACACACACAGACACACACACACACAGACACACACACTGACTCTTAAAGGACCGTTCGGCTGTTTTAAGGTTCTCAGTCACTGACGAGCGTCTTAAAGTGAACAAACGCGGTAACTGATCATAAAAGTCTGTAACCATGACAACCATCAACTGCGTTCAGTTGAAAGTCACCAGATGACACGGTCACGTTTTAAACCGTAACACCGTAACCATTGTTGGATCTTTACTTCTGTAACTCTACGTCTTTGTTCACAGATTAACGGCTAGTAAAGTTTCACCACCTTCGCTCGCCGCTGATAACCTCCGTGACCTTTAAAGGAGATCTGTTGATCCAGATGCAAATACAGATGTGTAGAATCACGATGTTGGCCGTCCAGACTACGGCCAGACTATCCCATCCAGTCTGTACTGTCCAGACTATCCCTGATAGTGGTGGTTTCCTGCTGCTTGGCGAAAACTTGGCAAGAACCTGACGTCAGGTTCTGGCGACATATCAGAGCATGGAGTTGTAGGACACGCCCACCTCAGCAGCTCTTTCAAGGACTCGCCCACCAGGAAGCTCACTCAGATTTCCCTGCAACTGCAAACAGAGATGGCCAATCTGAGGAGAGTGGGCATATGGGGGGGGGGGCCTTAAAGAGACAGTAACTGAAATGAAGCGTTTCAGAGGCTGAGGCTGATTTACTGACGGACGCCACGATAATATAAAGAAGGAGGAGTCCCAGAGTGACATCAGTGAGGATCATAGATCTCCTTTAACGCTCGCCAATCAATGCACGACTCATGACGTTACGTCTTCAAACAGCTGATTATTGTCAACAAACTGTGTTCAGGAACTGTCTGAACATCCTGAACTTCTTAAAGCTCAGAACCCGACTGATGACAGACTGTGGCGCCTCGTGTGTTCAGGTGTAAAAACGTGCGGCGTTTTTTGTTCCTGTGGGTTAGGGTTGTTAGTTGGACTGAAACGTGTAAACAGCTGATTGCACGACCGTTTAAATGTAAATACTGTAACATAGGAGTCTTTCCACCAGGGGGCGCTGATCACTGCCGACTCTGCTCCCACCTCATCCCGAGGACCAATCAGGTTCAGTGCTGTACCAGTCTGAGGACCAATCAGCTTCAGTGCTGTATCAGTCTGAGGACCAATCAGCTTCAGTGCTGTATCAGTCTGAGGACCAATCGTCTCCGAGTGTATTTCCGACAGTCTGCAGTCGATTTTGTTCCGGCTGTAAAAAACGTTTCCCAGATATTAAAACTGTAAATAAAACGGCAGTAACTCGCAGGACTTTACGACTCCACTCTGTGAAGAACGTTTTCTTTAGTCCAAATATTCAAACTAACGTGAAGAAGGAACCCGGTGAAGAAGCTGCTAGCTAACGTAGATAGCCTACTTTAACTTCCTGTATAAAGTGTAAACTAATGAGAAACTAGCATAGCGGCTTTTCAGCAGACATCAAAGGATTTAACACACTAGCTAGCTAACATCATATTTAATGCGACATAAGGGATTTAAACTAGCAGCTGCTAAGATGCTACTGTAGTTAGCTTGACCTTCAACTGCCTGAACGCCAACACTTTAAGACATAAACCTCACGTACGGGACCTAAAGGGTTAAAGTGCTAACCACAACGTTTAGTGAGCGCATGTGAAACTCTTTGAGATATTCCGGCTCACAGAAATGGCGAGCGACCCTCAAACTAAAAGACGTTTGTGACACCTTGTCGTGCTCACGGGATCGTTTCTGGCGAGTTTTCTGTGCTGACTTTTAACCTCTCTTGTTTTGCCCACGTGACCTTCGGGGCTCCGTAGTGAAGAGATGACATCATATTTATATCGGATTATTCCTGCTGCATATGCACAGTTCACGATGACGTAGCGTAGCATCAGGAGAAAACCAGAATGAGTTCAATCTGTGACGAACACAAATGATCCTCGATATAAACGTGTACTGCTCCGCGTTAGCCAGGTCATTAGCATGCTAACTACACCTGCTTGGATCTGATATTTGAATGGGTGATTGTTGAATATATTCTGTTGAATTAATGCACCACTAGGTGGCGCTGATGACAATAAGGAATCATAACTCACTTGCTGTAGGACTTTTTAAGCGCTGGTTTGTATGAAACTAAAGTTTTTTCTGTTAAGAGGGAAATGAGTGAACACCTGTCGGTTTAAAAATGCGAAACACACTCGTGGTTCCCAGAGGATGAAAATCTGATGTGGTTGTCCTTTTGATGTAGCGCCATCATCAGGTCAAAAATGTAATCACAGTTTGGTTAATGACACCTGAAGGAGTTCGATCTTTTCCTTCAGTTTCAGCTGTACTTTGTGTTTTACACTTGTTAGCGAGTGTTAGCATGCTAACACGCTAAGCTAAGATAGGGAACATGGTTCACCTGCTGAACATCAGCATGTTAGCATCGTAATTGTGAGCATGTTAGCATGTTGATGTTAGCATTTAGCTTGTAAATATTTTGTGTTGGATTTGCTTTTTACATGATGAGACCTCTGAAGGCGATGTTCAGAGGACAGCAGGTGGCGCTAAGGACTCAACGTGGTCCTAGAAGCTTTAGCTCAGGTGTGACTAGCATACCGATGTTTAGGGTTACGGTCGGTCATTTGAAGCTAAAGCAGTCCAGAAACAAACAGGCCGCTCTTTTTTTACCCTTTATGTTTCATGTTGTTTTGTTAAGACGTCGTCAGGAGGGAACTCTTGAATTATCGATGTCACTGAAGAGGAAACGAGGAGAACGTTTTCTCCCTATGCAGTCTTAACTCCTTCTTCATGTCGGCCGTCAGCGTGCGTCTGAAACCTGTAGACGATTGATCGGAGCGTACGGATGCACTTCTGCTTTTCCTTCGTGCTCTTGAGAGGAACGGTTGTCGATCTGATTTGATCTTTGGTCCCATTTATTAGCTTTGGTCCCATTTATTAGCTTTGGTCCCATTTATTAGCTTTTAGCGATGCTAGCTTAGCTGTGTGAATGGCCTTACACACAAATCTGAAATATCTCAACTACCATCCAATGTGTTAGTTCAAACTTTGGTACGGATGTTCACGGCTCCCTGAGGATGCATCCTGCTCACTTTGGAAAGTCTGGCTTTCTCTATAGCGCCACCATGAGGTAGATATTCCTTTTGTTCCATGTCAGAACTCCCAGCCTATTTGGAGTTTGTTTGAGACAATCGTGGTCCCCAGAGGATGAATCCTTTTAACGTTGGTGGTTTCTGGATGAAGCTTGTTGAGACTTCATGATCCAAACAAGATCAATCCCACTATCTCTGTTAGATCTTACATTTCCTCTGCTGCCCCCTGCAGGTGTTTATTTTTAGTGTTTTAATAACTGCTAACCTGGTTTAGTGAGCTGCTGTGACGTTCATGATCCTCTGACTTCAGGTTTATTCTGTGAAACATCTCAGTCACTCTGGATCCTCAGAGGATTTATCCTGATGACTTCTGGTTTTCATTGTGCTTCTGTAGTTTTGTAGTTTTAGTGAAAGACCCCTTAGTGGAGGGTTCTCATGGATTTGAGTCTGGGGGGGGTTCATGGTTCCCAGTCGATGCATCCTCGTACCTTCGTTGATACAGATTTCAGCACCGCCATGACATTTTTGGTTTTGAGGAACGTGTTGGTTGTGAGGAAATGTTTATTTTCCCCTTTCAGACTAAATTGGAATAACATCTGTGATCTCTGAACGCTTCATTTAGCGCCATCATGTGGCCAGAGTTTGTGTTTGTCCACTCGGTTTTATGACCACAAACCTGCAGAGAATCACGTTCTCATCAGCTCCGGCTAGTGCTAGTTAGCAAATGTTAGCATGCTAACATGCCTGATTCTGATGGGCAGCACTTCATCTGTTTAAGATTAGCATGTTAGCATTGTCATTGCCTGTTAGGATGCTAACATTAGCATTAGCCCGAGTACAGGCTAACAACTGTGCTAGTCTTTTTTTTTCTGTTCATTAACTGGAGAATGTTCTCTTAAGACTCTAAAACTTTAATAAAATAAGACATTTTGGGGCGTCGTGGCCTAGTGGTTAGGTAGTGCCCTATGTACAGAAGCGGACCGTCATGGTTCAAGTCCGACCTGTGGCTCCTTTCCTGCAGGTCATTCCCGTCTCTCACTCTGATCTCTGACTCTGTCCACTTCCTGTCTCTAAATAAAGGAATAAAATAAATATCAAAACATTCTGAAAAAGAGAAATTGATCTTTGGTTTCAATAATTCACAATAAAGTTTATTTTAATAAAAACCTGTGAACGCACACTTATTAAACATTCAGACACTCTGTGACCTCTCTGGTTCATCACAGAACTTCAAACCTTCACGAGAGCCCAGAAACCCGCTGGACCAGTGAGAGTCCGGCGTCTGTTGGACTGATTCTCCTGGTGGTTCTGGTTCTGATGATCCTCATGGTTCTGATGGTTCTGGTTCTGGTTCTGATGCTTCACGTTGTACTCGGAGGGTTCTTCACGCCGTCTCTGAACTGTGTCATGATGTTCTGTTTTAGACTCTTTGTGTTTCACGCTGTGTGAGCAGAAGGTCAGACGATCTGGATGAACGTCCCGGCGTTTGGATGAAGTTTAGAAATGTGATTCAAACTGAAATAAACAAATAACAACAACAGTCTGGGAATCTTTATAAACAACGTAACTTTATTTATTTACTGTGAGTTTATATGTTTTAAGAAGTGTTATATTTATAAAGTGCCAGCGTGTAATGTTTTAATGTTAATTTAAACGTTTAAGTCTTTCATGGCCTCACAGGAGGATTCAGTCTGTTGGGTTCTGTTAGCGCCCTCTGCTGGATTTCTCAAGGAGAGAAAATAAATAAAAGAAACTCCCCGTCGGGGAATCGAACCCCGGTCTTCCGCGTGACAGGCGGAGATACTGTCCACTATACTAACGAGGAAGGTGCACGAGGGTGGAGCGAAAGTACTTTAAGTAGCATTAAACTAAAGACTGAACGAGAAAGAAGTTTGTGATTCTGGATAAATATAGTTTTACACACTGATTTATTCTGATGAAATATTTCAGATTCATCGATGTTAGAAAAAACTTTACCTGATAAACTGTTATCAGAATAAATTAATTTAAAAAAAGAAGACAAACGATCATTCATCTCTTTAATCTGTAGTTTAATAATCCTCTCTCTTCTTTCTGGAGTCGATCCTTCAGGAGCTGAAAACAGCCGCGCGACTCTATACAAGAAGTTACGGTACGGAGGCCTGGAGCAACCAAAAAGAACCAATACCGTCCCCGTAGATATATCAGAATCAGAAATACTTTATTAATCCCAGAGGGAAATTCGATCGTTACAATTGCTCCAAAATATACAGTATAGCAGTAGAAATATATTATATACAAAATATTAATCAAATAGAATAGGAATGTAAGTAAGATATCAATAATAGGCACAAGACATAGATATACATTATATAGATAGACAGCCTGTCCAGTTCCAACCCTCCAAACCACAGCAGAGCTCCAATGCTCCTCCACTCCAATTAAAACAAATAATGAATAAAACCTAATATTAGGGATATATTTTAGTATTTAATATTGATAAAAATTAAAGTCATTAAAAACGCAAAAGATAAAATAACACTTGTTCTCCGTTACCTCCAATGATAACTCTGTGTTAACGTGAGAACGATGTGGTTATATTTCTATATTTAAACAACTTTAAATGATTAATTCTTCCTGAGGAGTTTAAAATGATTTATTTTTGACTTTTAGAAATGATTAAATGTTTTAATAACTTTACTTATTATCAGTGTCTTAAATGGATCTCTTATAGTTCGCTCAAGAATGTCTCTTTTAATTTATATTTACTTTTTGAGAAGTCGCTGAAATACGGAGCCGCATTAGTTCTTTTTGGACGCTCCCAGCACCCGTACCGTAACTCCAGGTATAGACGCGCCTTGTTTTGAAAGCTGGTTTGACTCAGGTCTGAGGAGGGTCCGGAGTTCCCACAGAAGAATCCTGAGTATAAAGTCAGGACTTGATTTGTTGTTGGGTTAGGGTGCTCACTTCGCTAAATGTTCTCTATCTGAACTTTACATTCCTTGAAAAGAACACAAATGAACCGAATGTCCCTGAATGCCTCACGACAGACGCGCCTTACGTGATCTGCGTAAACAGAAACAAACATGGCGCCGCGAAAGTGAGAAGAAGTCTGATGTGAGTGTTTTTAAATTTCATATGATCGAAATGAGTCATGATTGATGAAGCTGTGAAACTCAGGGGCACGCGGACAGGTGTGTTTACCTTCAAATGTTCAGTTTATTTCACTAAAAGTCCCAAATACGAACTTTAAAGGCAGTTTTCCTTTAAATCAACGTCTTGTTTCCATGTCAACCTGATGGCCTCTTCAGACTCACCTGGAACCAGCTGAACAGGTGCTCACTCTACCTGCTGTCACTCACGTCAGGTGTGTTCTCATTGAACAGGTGCTCACTCTACCTGCTTCAAACTGAGCAGTCGGACCAATGAGAGGAAGAACAGGACCTTCATCATCATCATCATCATCATCATCAGGTAAATCCACCTGGAGTCACGTGTGTGTGTGTGTGTGTGTGTGTGTGTGTGTGTGTGTGTGTGTGTGTGTGTGTGTGTGTGTGTGTGTGTGTGTGTGTGTGTGTGTGTGTGTGTGTGTGTGTGTGTGTGTGCTGTCACTGAATCAATATGAATATATAAAGACGTGATGAGGGCGGGGCTTAGTTACAACACAGTCTGAAAATGGCGACTAATAACCAGCGAACAGACGGTGGCGTCCTGTGACTCCGTGGTGTCCTGTGACCCCTTGGCGTCCTGTGGCGTCCTGTGACTCCGTGGTGTCCTGTGACCCCTTGGCGTCCTGTGGCGTCCTGTGACTCCGTGGTGTCCTGTGACCCCTTGGCGTCCTGTGGCGTCCTGTGACTCCGTGGTGTCCTGTGACCCCGTGGCGTCCTGTGGCGTCCTGTGACTCCGTGGTGTCCTGTGACCCCTTGGCGTCCTGTGGCGTCCTGTGACCCCGTGGCGTCCTGTGACCCCGTGGCGTCCCGTGGCGTCCTGTGACCCCGTGGCGTCCTGTGGCGTCCTGTGACCCCGTGGCGTCCTGTGACCCCGTGGCATCCTGTGACCCCGTGGCGTCCTGTGCTTTAACGCCACGTGTTGATCACAGGAGCATGCAGAGGTCACTGATGTCTTTTTGTTTTCCTGACTCACCGTGATGTTTGTCGTGTCTCTGTTGCTCGCAGTCGGTCCGCCGCCGAATAGGATGGCGCTGAGGAAGCACGTTCTCCAGGATGTCGCCGACGTTCCCTCTGGAAGCCAACGCAGCGACCACAACACGCAGGAGGGCGGAGCTCCGGACGACCACAGAGACGACAGAGATGTAAAGACGTTCGCTGTTTGATTTATTTCTTATTTTTGAAACGCTTCAGGTCGACTCCTTCACGCCGTTTCTCTCTCTCGCTCAGCCGCGTTTGATCGGAGATCTGAAGTCTGAACTTTCAGATTCCATCGATCACAAAAAAACATGCGGGCTAGAAAAGGTTGTAAAAAGTCGACGTCCTAACGGCGTGTGAGCGTCAGAAACAGCGTCCGCTTGATTCTGTCGCTTCCTGTCGTGAGTGACGTCACAGCCTGCGAGCCACACGACCCGCCGTTTAACCCCGACGTCTCGCGTGGAGCTCGCCGCGAGGCAGCGAGGGAAATGTTAGCTTCTCTCGCTCAGCAGCGCTAGTTAACTAGTCGTGCTAAGTTACAACGGCGTTGTGTTAATGACATCATCAGCTTTGACTCGTGTAAACACTCCTGTTTCCTCCGCCTTCAAAATAAAAGCACTAGAAGGCAATATTTCCACGGTGAGCGTGCTGACGGTTTTCTGGACCTGCTGGTCGACCGTCGTGAACCGAGTCGTAAAGTGGCGTCGCAGTAAAATCCACATGAGAAACACGAGGCTTTCAGGAAACGTGGGAAATAACAGCTCTGTAACTTTGTTCTTTCAGGACGAGCTCTCATCGCCACTTCTGCCTCGCTCGCCCCGAGAGAGACGCCGGAGAGAGAAGGACAACAAAGCCAAAGGTGACCAATCACAGCAGACGAGGCACAGCCAGGTCCGTGCTGATTGGCCGCTGATATTTGGTTCCTCCTTCTGTTGTTTGCAGAGATGACGGAGGACGAGATGATGGACTTGGCGTTGCGTCTGAGCGAACAGGAAGCCAGCATGACGGCGAGCAGGATGCAGAAAGAGGAAGAGGCGGTGATGAAAGCCATCGAAGAGAGTGTGAGTGTGACGCCGCTGTTCACTGACACACCGACACACGCCGGAACGCCCGCCATCACACGCCATGTTTACTTTTAGTGCAACTGACAGCTCAGTGTGCTTTGTGGATTTGGAGAAGGCTTTTGACCGTGTCCCTCGGGGGATCATGTGGGGGGTACTGCGGGAATATGGGGCCCCAGGGCCGTTGGTACGAGCCATCGGGTCCCTGTATGACCAAAGTGGGAGCTGTGTCCTCACCCTCGGCACAAAGTCAGACCCGTTCCCAGTGCGTGTAGGACTCCGCCAGGGTCGCCCCTTGTCACCGGTCCTGTTTGTGATCTTCATGGACAGGACCTCAAGGAGCAGCCGGGGGGGGGGAGGACGGTTTCCAGTTTGGGGACCTCAAAATCTCGTCTCTGCTTTTTGCAGATGACGGCTGGGATGAGGGTTAGCACCTCCAAGTCCGAGGCCGTGGTTCTCTGCCGGATAACAGTGGATTGCTCCCTCCGGGTGGGCGCGTGTCTCGGGGTAGAATGGAGCGTGAGATTGACAGATGGATTGGCGCGGCGTCAGCAGTAATGCAGGCGTTGTGCGATTGCCTTTGTGGCGAAGAGGGAGCTGAGCCTGAAGGCAACGCTCTCGATTTACCGGTCGATCTACGTTCCAACCCTCACCTCTGGTCGTGAGCTTTGGGTAGTGACCGAAAGAATGAGATCGCAGATACAAGCGGCCGAAATGAGTTTCCTCCGGAGGGTGTCTGGGTTCAGAGTTAGAGAGAGGGTGACGAGCTCGGACATTCAGGGGGAGCTCAGAGGAGAGCTGCTACTCCTTCTCATCGAAAGGAGCCAGTTGAGGTGGCATCTGTTAAGGACGCCTCCTGGACGCCTCCCTTTAGAGGTTTTCCAGGCACGCCCAACTGGGAGGAGACCCCGGGGCAGACCCAGAATACGCTGGAGGGATTACATATCCCGTATAGCATGGGAACGCGCTGGGGAGAGGGAAGTCTGGGCTGACTTACTGCGCCTGCTACCACCGCGACCCGACCTCGAAAAGGGGAGGAAAATGGATGGATGGCGTTTAGAGAGCGGGGAGCGTTCGTGGGTTTGACAGATGTTCCTCGACCCTTAGCGAATAAAGAACGTCTTTGTGTTTCTCAGATGGGAGAGAGTCAGACACGAGCCTGCGCTCCGCTCGCCGGCCCTGAAGCTGCACTCAGACTCTGCTCGCGACGGAAACTCTCCTACTCCAACAGGAAGCAGGAAGAGGTCAGCTGCTCGCCGCACGCCACAGAGCTGAACGGAGGTGAGTTAGAGGTCAACAGGTAAGAGTCTGCTGACGCTGTGATGTCATCGTGAACTCTCTTCTCTGTTCAGAAGGTAGAGAAGCAGCCGATGACAGTCGGAGTCTGAAGAGGAAGAGAAGAGCAGGAAGTCCGCTGCTGGAGATGCCCGACTTATCTCAGACTCAGAAGATCTCTCAGGACTCAGCGTGCAGCTCAGATCCTCTGGACCTGCAGCCGGACTCCCAGCAGGTTTCTCTGGACCTGCAGCTGGACTCCCAGCAGGTTTCTCTGGACCTGCAGCCGGACTCCCAGCAGGTTTCTCTGGACCTGCAGCTGGACTCCCAGCAGGTTTCTCTGGACCTGCAGCCGGACTCCCAGCAGGTTTCTCTGGACCTGCAGCCGGACTCCCAGCAGGTTTCTCTCCACACCTCTCTGTGTCTCTCTCTTTTATTGAAGTTTGATTTGTAAGGAGGATTTGAACCCTCTGATTCTTGAGGTTTAGTTTGAGTCCTTCAGTCGGGGCTCTCTCCACACTCTCCTGATCATCATGTTTGTTGGTTTCTCTCAGAGCTGTGACTCCACCCAGATCGACGAAGGTAGATCTCCGGTCTTCCCCTCTACGGGCTGCCGAGCGGAGGTCCTGGTCCCCCGTCTGAGTCAGAACCTGCTGCAGTCCTGCAGGACCTCGGGGTTCGTGTTGTGCTCTCAGGACTCTTCAGACGACCCTCTAAAGTCTCCGCAGGCTCAAACCAGGAGCCCCACGTTCCCCCAAAGAGAGCCGGCTGTGTTCTCAGAGACGGAGCAGGTGGACGACTCGGAGACCCAGCTGAGTCCAGAGGGGTCTCAGAGCCCGGTGTTTGGAAGGACCACTCAGCACCAGAAGTCTCAGAGTGCCTGCAGACTTCAGGTCTGTAACTCAGGGTTCAAGTCCTCCTCTCAGGAGAGTTTATCCTCCTCTGTGAGGTCCTGTCGCCCTCGGAGCCCCGTGTTCCCAAGAATCCTCGACCTTCACGAGACCCTCCCTCCCCCTGACAGATCCGGGGTCTGTACAAGTCCAGTCTTCTCAGATGAACAGGCTGAGCAGGGTCCCGTTGGCAGTCTGAGCCGGGTGTTGGACAGGACTGGCAAACGGACAAAGATCCAACGGGCAACTGCTCAGATCCGAGAGGTGAGTTCAAAGGTCAAACTGTAAGAGGGGGCTTTTATGAGATCGCTTAAACAGCTGTATGAAAGTCTGTAACTCGCCCTTTTCTCTCTCTCTCTCCCTCTCTCTCTCTCTCGCCCTTTTCTCTCTCTCTCTCTCCCTCTTTCACTCTCTCTCGCTCTTTCGCTCTCTCTCTCGCTCTCTGTCTCGCTCTCTCTCTCACTCTTTCTCTCTCTCTCTCGCCCTTTTCTCTCTCTCTCTCTCACTCTCTCTCTCGCTCTCTCTCTCGCTCTTTCTCTCTCTCTCGCTCTCTCACTCTCTCTCTCTCTCTCTCTTTCTCTCTCTCGCTCTCTCTCTCGCTCTCTCTCTCTCTCTCTCTCTCTCTCTCGCTCTTTCTCTCTCTTTCAGGACAAGAAGACCGATCCAGCTCCAGGTGTCACCTGTCACGTGACACCTCCGTCAGGTCAGGAAGTCTTCTGATTAGTTCCTTATTTATAAACGTCTCAGACACTTGTCATATTGATATGAGGTCGTTTATTTCTCCGTCTGTCTACGTTCAGTTCACCATGTTGAGTTTAGTCCATGTGAGCCCTTTACCCCTCTGGGTTGGGTCTGGCTCGGGGTCAGGGTTGGGTCTGTGTAGGGGTCAGGGACGGGTCGGGGTCGGGTCAGGGTTGCGTCTGTGTAAGGGTCAGGGATGGGTCAGGTTCAGGGACGGGTTGGGTCAGGATCGGGTTGGGTCTGTGTAGGGGTCAGGGACAGGTCAGGGTTGGGTCTGGCTCGGGGTCAGGGTTTGGTCTGTGTCGGGGTCAGGGACGGGTCAGGGTTGAGTCAGGGATGGGGTCAGGGTTTGGTCTGTGTCGGAGTCAGGGATGGGGTCAGGGACAGGTCGGGGTCAGGGTCAGGTCTGGGTCTGGGTCTGGGTCTGGGTCAGGTCTGGGTCAGGTCGGAGTCTGGGTCAGGTCTGGGTCAGGTCTGGGTCAGGTCTGGGTCAGGTCTGGGTCTGGGTCTGGGTCTGGGTCAGGGTCTGGGTTAAACTGGTGTTTGTGTCCCGTGCAGACGAGGAGCTGACTGAAGTGATCAGAGACTCATCAGAGACGGAGCTGAGCAGCGACATGAAGCTGCTCTGGTCTGATGACGATGACGCCGACGTGACGGTATAGTTCTGTTATTTAAAGAGACAGTACGCTGCCACTGACACTCACCGCAGCGCCACGTGTGAACTGAGACTAAATACAAATCTCCACTAACGTCTGGTTCATCTTGTCTAGTCGTGTAACTTTCTGTTCTCACCGTCTGTCCGCTGCAGCCGGCGGCGGTGGCCTCACCCAGCCCGGTCTTCCCAGAGGAGAGAGCCGTGGATCGGGCAGACGGTCAGACGGCGTCCCTGAATCACACGACTGGAACAAATGGCGGCGACTGCAGGTAAAGAAAACGCCAACAAGGTCAGCCTGATGAGAGTTTGTTCTCGAGGTCATCACAGGTCAAAGGTCAGAGGTCATCACAGGTCAAAGGTCACTTTAACATCAAAACGTCCTGCACCGAGAGGCCGTTCACAGTTTCACACCCAGAGACTCCAACGAGTCAAAGCTCCTCCCTCTTTATGTTGTGTTGGCTTTGGCGCCCCCTGCTGACAAAACACGTTCCACATTTTTGGATCCAGAATCCAAAATAATCCTCATTTATAAATCCCTTCTCCTCTTATTTCTCCTCCTTCTGATCCTCCTGCAGTCAGCAGACCTCCACCTCAGAGCGAGACCCTCACCTGCTCAGCTGTCAGGCGGCGGTCAGCAGGTCTGCAGGCGGAGGGACGGTGCATTACTATTGGGGGGTTCCCTTCTGTCCCCGAGGCCTGAACCCAGACTCCTACACACAGGTGAGACCGTGTTATTATGTAATGTTTTAAAATGATTCATTTTCTGTGTTTATAAAATCAAACACATCCTGGTCCTGGTCCTCAGGTGATCCTGGCTCAGATGGAGGTGTATGAGAAGAGTCTGAAGCAGGCTCAGAGGTGTCTGCTGAGGAAGGTGGAGTGGGGCGAGGCCGTCCTGCCGCAGGTCGAGGTACAGACTCTTTGTTTGATATTTCTCTGAACACTCCAACGTGTCTGAAACAGGAAATCACTCAGCTGTCAGTTTGGATCTTAATGTGGTCGATGGAATCAGAACTTTTTCTCTGTTCTGCACCGGTCGGACAGAGAAGCTGAGTTAATAGCTCTGATAGTTCTGATATCGATGTAAACAACGTTCATCATCATCACAAGTTGACTGTTAACATATTTTTTAAGTTTGCTTTTCTGTGTTTGCTCTCCGCTTGTGTTTACGTTCATGTTGTTCCTGCTGAGATCTGAATACACAAAGCCGTCTCCTGATTGGTCAGTGATTAAAGCTCCATCCTCTTTCTCCTCAGAAATCTCCTTTACCCGAGTCAATGTCGCCTGAACCGTCTGACCCACCTGAACCGGACGTTCCCCAAAGGTAAAAAAAAAACAGCACCGTCTGAGAGAGTTAGAACACAGAGCGTCTGTAAGAGTTAGAACACAGAGCGTCTGAGAGAGTTAGAACACAGAGCGTCTGTGAGAGTTAGAACACAGAGCGTCTGTGAGAGTTAGAACACAGAGCGTCTGTGAGAGTTAGAACACAGAGCGTCTGTGAGAGTTAGAACACAGAGCGTCTGTGAGAGTTAGAACACAGAGCGTCTGTGAGAGTTAGAACACAGAGCGTCTGAGAGAGTTAGAACACAGAGCGTCTGAGAGAGTTAGAACACAGAGCGTCTGAGAGAGTTAGAACACAGAGCGTCTGAGAGAGTTAGAACACAGAGCGTCTGAGAGAGTTAGAACACAGAGCGTCTGTGAGAGTTAGAACACAGAGCGTCTGTGAGAGTTAGAACACAGAGCGTCTGTAAGAGTTAGCACACAGAGCGTCTGTAAGAGTTAGAACACAGAGCGTCTGTAAGAGTTAGAACATAGAGCGTCTGTAAGATTTAGCACACAGAGCGTCTGTAAGAGTTAGTATCTGGAGCTTCCGCTGTGCCTTACTTTCAAACATTTTGTGAATTCACAGACTTTGAAATGATTATAAAACGCATTTCTGGCACTTTTCTAAAAGTCTTAAAAGGGCTGTAGTTTTCACAAGAATCTAAATCCTAACTTGATATTTGTTGTTTTTGATTTGTTTGTGAACATGTTTGCAGACGGCTTCTCAGAAAGAGACGAAACAGACTGAGTGAGGACGTCGATGACTCTCCTGCTGCTGAGGAGAAGGAGCAGGAAGACAAGACGGACGGAGAGGAGGAGGAGGAGGAAAAGGTGACCACAGAAGAAGAGAAGAAGAGTGACGGAGGAGGAGGAGGGCAGGGGGATTCAGACGACTGTGAGGTCTGTCCAGGTACATAAGCTTCACCTTTTTCTTTAACTGAAATATATTCATGATCAGGACGAAGAGTCCAGGGGGTCTCATTTATAACCGTTGCGTACGCTCAAAACGGGTTCTGAAACTGGCGTACGCCTTTTCCCACGCAAAGTTTGTGATCTATAAAAACAAACCTGACGGTAAAATGATGTCTCTAACACATTTTATTTCACTAAATATCAAACTTTACTGACAGATCCACGTCATCATAATCATTCAAACCGACGATTTTATTTAGGCTATATATATAAGTGAGCCGTTTCCAATAAGTCACTTTAATTATGACAGTATATAAACCTAAAATAAAAACAACAAATATAAGTCTGCCCCATACATTCTCGCCATACATGTAATCACTGATGTAGAGTTAAACATTAGACTAACACAGAGACCATAGAGCCACCAGTTTTCATTAATATTTATCATCAAGTGTGATTTTTAGTTTTAATAAAGATGTTTGCGTCAAGACGCACAGAGACACAGCGGTGGCTTCACACATTTCGCCTTCTTACTTAGTATGTCTTCATCAGCTGCACGTATTTATTCTGTAAATACTTCAAGTGTGGATATTAAGTCGGGGCATCTCTGACACGATCATTAGGTTTATATATTCTATCTATAGTCTTCCATGCTATATTTTTTAAGGTCTTTGATGAGACTTTTCCATTTCAAAGAAGAAAAAAGTCCACCAACCCAAGCAAAACCTGGTTAACAAACAGCTTAAAGCGTTCTATTGCCAAGAAGAATAAACTGTATCGGGACTACCTTACTAATCCCTCACCCGTTTTTGAAACGCTACAAAACATACAGAAATAAATTGAATCACTTACTGCGTTCATCTAAACGTAAGTTCTACGAAAATACATTTGATTACAGTTTAATTTCTTGTGGGGTGCCACAAGGGTTGATCCTTGGTCCTTTACTCTTTCTTATTTATATTAATGACTTGTATTTGATCTCAAAGAAAGCATTTTTCATCCTGTTTGCTGATGATTCCAATATTTCTCTGATGGGCAAAGATTGGTGTACGAAATGAACAGTGAATTAAGTAAAGTTGACACCTCGTTTAAGGCAAACAAATTATCACTCAATACAAAAAAAGCTCATACATGTTATTTATACCCAGAAACCTACAGACCAAATTTACTTTTCCCAATGTATATATTGCCAATAATATCTTAGAAAGGGTAACCGTTACTAAATTTCTTGGAATTGTCATAGATGAAAATCTCACAATCATATAACACTTATCTCAGGCAAAATAGCAAAAAAAAATTGGAGTCATCAGAAGAATAATGCATCTGTTATCAAGAAAAATCCTTCTTAATTTATATTACACTATGATCTATCCATACATCTCATACTGTAACATTGTTTGGGCTAGCACCTTTAAAAGCAACCTCAACTGCATTTTTTTCTCTGCAAAAAGGGTTCATCAAAATGATCACTTTCTCCAACAGATTTAGCAGCTCTACTCCTTTGTTCCAGTCACTATGAATTCTCCCCATCTTCCACCTAAACCAGTTTCAGTTATGTATTTTTGTTTTCCAATCAGTTAACAACTTACTCCCCGTCTGTTTTCAAGATATATGTCAATTAAATTCTTAAATCCATCATTACAACACAAGATCAGCCAACTTACTTCATTCTGCATTTTTCAGGACATTGTTTTCTCAATTCTCCATCAGATTCAGAGGACCTCATTGTTGGAACAATTTACCCAATCATATTAGAAACAGCACCAGCCTCAACTTATTTAAAAAACAAACCATTTATTTCCTGCTTGGCCAATTAACCCATGCGCCATCATAATCATTCTCTGCCATAAGAGCTTATTTTACTTTTTCCCCTCTTCTTTAATTTGTCTTTCTTGTTTTGCTTTCTTTTACACTTTATTGAGTATGTGTTCTTGTTAGCTTTATTGTTTTTGTCTCTGTGTTACATGTTTCTCTTTAGGAGGGCCACTCGACGAGTCAATCAAACGTTTTTGATCGTTGAGCAAACTTTTGATTAATAATATCAAACAGTGAGGCAGACTGCTGACTGAAGTGACCTCTCTGACAATATGAAGAAGTCAGTGTGGGTCCCGTAAACATGTAAACATTGCAGATATACTCGTGCGTAATGATGAACAGCGTATGTTTTGGCGCTGTAGGAGGACAGTGTGAATGCAACAGAGACGTGGTGTCACTCTCTGATTGGGTGAATGCAGCGTCGTGGTGTCACTCTCTAATTGGGTGAATGCAGCAGCGTCGTGGTGTCACAAACTCCTCCGTTTCTGGGTCAGAAAGTTTCGTTTCTTTGTCTGAACTTCCGGGTTTCGCCGCGATCGAGCGCTGGAAACCTTAGCCCCGCCCCCTCGTTTGTATGCTTCTTCATTCACGAGCTGCTTTGCGTTGACCGTTTATGGTTGATTGTGGGCGTGTAGAGGGCGCAACATGGGACTAATCTACGTGCGCTCATTTCCAGGTGGATCGTGATTCATAAAGGGAACATTGCGTGCAGGTGTGCGTACGAACGGTTTTAGAAATCTGAATGATTTTGTGCGCACGCCACGTACATTTTTAGTATGGATTCCACGCACTCTTTTATAAATGAGACCCCAGGTGTGTCTGCTCATGACTCACGACGATCCTCCTCCGTGGTTATTTTGGATGACCATCATGTAGAGATGCTGTCAGACGGTCTGTGTTTGTTTTAACGACAGAAACCCAACTGAGCCATGAGGAAGACGACGACAGGACTCAGGATCTGATGATGGACACTGACGCTGGAGCACAGGTGAGTTCAAATCCTCCAGACTTTACTTCTAAGTCTAAACAGATTCAGGTTTTACTTCACAGCTGGACGAACGTCAGAGAGAGTTCAGTAGTAACACGGTCGAGTCCGAGCTGCTCCAAGCTTCAGCACATTGATGTATTCATTTAACGATGTGAATGTTTCTAATCTTTAACTCTTTATCATCTGAGTCTTCATGTGTATACTCACTCAGGTCACCATGTGGTGGACTCTGAAGCTTCAGTGTTTATCCAGCTCTGCATGGGTCTGTAAACCTTTCTGTGTTCTAACCTCTCTCCATTTTTCAAAAGCATCTCCAATATTGA